GGACTAGATTTTTCCCGCATATAAGACATATAAATGTTTTAGAAACTAAGTTTCAAGAGAAAAAATACAGAAAATAATGTATTAGGATTTATTTTGAAAATTAAAGGCAGTAACTTTTTTTAATCATATCACCCAAAGCAAAGCAATAAAGTAACTAAGATGCAAGGGGTTGCTGTGTGTTGGAGAATATGAGGGGAAAATCTATAAATAAAATAACAGGAATTAAGAAGACAGGAGATAACGATTGACATTGCATTAAAACTTTTGAAGATCAAAGTTGACTAAAAAACAAGAAGCCGGAAGAGAGTTCCATAAGCGAAAAGTTTGATAGTAGAAACAGTCAGCATAGAACTTAGGGTTACATCGAGCCATTTCAACTGTAAATTGATGAGACATTGCCTCCAATCTAGTACTGCTCTTAAATTGGTAAAGTCTAGGTACCATAGAGGAATGTTCATCAAAACAATTACCATGAAAGTATTTATAGGAAAGGCATAGGGAATCCACGTCACGATTTTGTGACTGAAACCAAGATGTCAGGACAGGACTAATAATATTGCAGAATTTTTCTTTGTATTTTATGTAGAATATCTAAATACATAGTAGAAGCACTAGACCAAATGTGGTATCAATATTCAATGCATGGACGAAAGGTAGACTTATGGATGTGTAAGATAGATTCTGCAGGTAAAAATTGTCTAGCACAACACAGTGAACCAACTTTGCTTGTAGCAGACCTAGCAATTGATTCAGTATAATCTTTCTATTTCATGACAGCAGAAGACGTTAGCCTAAGAAGGCACAATGAGTCACTTTCCTGGGGGTTAGCATCAGTTATGTTGATGGAAAGCAAAAAGGGTTCTCTCAGAAGATTGAAATATAACAGATTTTATACAGATGGTATAGCTCATCGCAGCAGCATCGTTAGGGACACTCCAGCCCTCTCTGTAAAAAGCCAGTCTTTTAATTTTGCCTTTGTGTGGATATTACACTTTTGCCGTTTATACTTTAAAACTGACAGTCAAAATATTTAAAGATATTTAAAGAACAAAATAATTACCTAAACTAGAAAGGCTCGTAACAATGACACTTAGATAAATGACTGCACAGATTAAAAATGACTAGAAATACTCGGGAAAATTCCACGGTTTTTCTCTTTGAATTTTCTGATAAATCTTAACTCTTCATTGTTGAATGATTGATTCATTTTTTACGACTTATGAACCCTTTGCAGGTTATTTAAAGCTAGAAAATACTTTTAGATTGTAAGATTTTTTTTTTTGAGATGATAATGGTTTAGTGTTACAAGTCTTACTAATTAAGTTGGGAGAAGAAGTGGATTCATGCCTTTCCCAATGGTATGTACGCATAAGTGAATATAACGAACTCAACGGGAATTGGAACTCGGCTCTTAACAATTACCATTACACCATCCGCACATCCAAGCATACTGTCCCTGGTATTCCCAAGCAGTCACCCATCTAGGTACTGACCAGACTCGACGTTGATCATCTTCGCTGATCGTATGGCAACCGGTGATTTAACGTGATGTGGCCGTGAGTTAGTTAATGGTTGAATAATCTTGCACGTTTAGCGATCATAAAATGCACATAGAAATTCCTTTATTATCTCGTTAGATGTTTGCGCTTAACTAGTTGCAGTAACAGTCATAAATATAAATACTCCTCATTATTTAAAGAAGAGATTACAAATGAAAAAAAAAAAAAGATAAAAATTGACAAGGTTTTTCTATTTCGCTAAAACAAATGTTAAAACATGAGCTTTATTTTTCCTGTTTCTTCCTTTTCTTTATTTCCCTAAAACAAACAACGCCTTTGATATATCTTCTGTGTATCCTTACAATCAAACAGTAATGAACCATTGTTTATTTGATCAGTGGCAGTGAAATGTACGCGCTAACTAATGTTTTTATTAAGATATTTTCATTCCGGCCCATAAGCAGTGAACACGTTCGCGTTTCTCCAACTGCCTGACATATTGGGGGAATCAGCAATTAACGACCAGAATTTATCAGAAAAACAGAAAACGCGTTTTCAAACCACCAGAATCCGGCATTTCTAAACGCAGCCTGACCCTCACAAAAGTCACTCTGGTGTTCTTAAATACAGACGTGCACTTTAATCGCTAATAGACTGATTGTCTCTGTATATGGGGTACAGCTGTAGATTTATTTATGCGTGCAACTGTACCCCATTTTGATTTTACATCGAACAACTTTCTGCTAATGAATATTCTGATGCATCAATATTATCTTTGACATCAAACCACTGACCACTTAAACAGTATACCACGGGCTAAATAAATACTTGTTATTGTTAATTGGAGAGTCTGCATATTTTTTTCTTTTTTGTCAGCTCCAATATTATGCTTTTTTAATGTCATTAAGTACACACTCAACGTCTTTCAATCTTATTCATTAACCAGTTCATCAGTTAGCCTGCTTTAGGGCACTTAGGCGCCAAGCAATCGGCAACATAAATATCGTGACGAAATCTCCAACCGGTTGATCTGACGTAATTTTGCTACTTGGTTGACCGATGTGGTTGCTCATATCGTTAGCGGAATCGACGTGACATTTGATGAGAAGCAGGGTTGGTAGATATGAAAAAGTTATGGGGAAACCGGCAAAATCAGAGGAGCTAGGGAACAGGAAAGGCACTTGATTATTGTAGAAAAAGAATGTTTCACGTAGACATATAAGGAGTTGTTTTGAATGTAGACGATGGAAGAGGCAGAAGCCATGTGAGAGCAAAGCCCGCGGAAAAGGGCTAAAGCACAATGACAATTGCATGATTGGGATATGTTTAGGTATGGATACCTGCTAGTGGATGTGTGGTATGGGATTCCCTAAATGACCAAATGGTTCGCTTTGTAAAGATAATAAAGATCTGACGCTGAAAGACCAAACGTAACAACCAACGTATTTTTTAATCTCTTGTCATTTTGTTTCTTTTTTCTTCTTATAACTTGTTTTGCGCTGAATGCACAAAATAAAGATTTATATTTCTTTCTCTTTAATTATTATTAACAATCTAACGATCAATTGTTAGCTTTGTATTATGTACTGTTCCGTGTGCGTTATTTGGTGTCCATTAATTCATTGCCATCTCAGTTATGTATGTTTTTCTCCGCTTTTATGTATGTTTTTTCTTGCTTGTAAAATGCTTTTAACACTTTTTTGCCTAGACCCGAAAATAAGCTAGTGTTACAGAATGCGGAAGCTAGATAAAAATAGCATACCGTAGTTTGATGTCCCGAACTGAGTTGAGGTGGTCTGAACTCCGTGGGCGTAGAATCCTGACAGTGATTAATTGTCTAAATTTTTATATAAGACCGAAAAACGCGCGAAAACCTGCAGTAAAGTTGCGACATCAGAGAAGTCAAGAGTTCTGATGCTTTCCAGGAGAGGGTGAATAGCTAGCTGACTTGTTGGCATCCGTTCTCTTTATGCTATTCACAGTTTTACTTTCTCCAAGAAACGATGCTGAATGTGCCTTTCCTAAAATAGAGCAAAAAGAAACTTGAAGAAAATTGTCTGTCGTTAACTGAGTCTGTTGCCGAGGAATTGCCTATAGACCACTAGAATCGAGATAAACCACGCAATGCATGACTACTCTGCTTAAATTGTGGGTTCATTGGTAAACTGACCACTCATATGATTTGTGGGTGAGAGACGTGAACGAAAGTTGAGACAGAAACACATCTGTAACGTTATTTTTTAATGAACATTTTATAGGTCGACCAATAAGGAAACTAAACAAGTAAATTTAATTTTTGTTTAAAAAAAAAAAGAAACGAATTTTTTTAAAACAAAATGAAAATTCTTTTCTTTTTTAATTTGAATATAATGACTTCCATTTTAAATGTTTAACGACTGAATCGTCACTTTATGAAATTGTACCCACTGATGCACGTTCAGTCGTTATCAAAACTATATATTTAGTCAATATTATAAAGATTATGAACTTACCACAATATATGTGTCATGGCATCGGCACGCATCTTTCTTAAGTTTACTGAAAGTTGTCTTGTGCGGTCACACTTCTAGATCTTTTTGCATTAATGCAGGTGTCGTGTTGAACGAACATTCTCCTCCAGAGTTCTCTCCTTGAACCTACGATGTTCATAATTTTCCTGGTCATCAATTCTCAACTCGGTATCTATGCTAATGACATAACTACTTACTCATGTCTTAATGACAAGTCTGATTCGATTGATATGGTCAAATTGGCAGCTGAGGTAAAGCAAAATGACCTACAATCTGTTGTTAACTGGGGCAAGAAATGGCTTGTTAATGTTAGCGCCTCCAAAACAAAACTGTTCTCTTTTAATCGTCTGAGAGATCATTTTTGCCTTCCATCGGAATGGCTGATGATAATCTCCAGGAGAGCAACACGCTGTCTTCTCGGGCTAATGAAAGGGAGTGGAAAGATTATATTGAATCAATTGCTATGTCTTCTGCTAGGGAAGCTCTCTCTCTCTCTCTCTCTCTATATATATATATATATATATAGAGAGAGAGAGAGAGAGAGTCTATATATATATGTCTATATATATATAAATTATAGCACTCTTCAACAAAGTGAGTTACTGAACAACAAATTTTTCTTGTCTTTTGTGAAAATGAATGAAAAATCACTTTCATTTCTTTATTTCTGTTGTCATTAAATTTAACTTGACCTTGAATGAGTACAAGCGACTCAAGCTTTCGATTCGATTGTTTTCTACGGCTTATCAACTCTTTGCAGGTTGTTTAAAGCCAGAAAATAATTTCAGATTGTTAGCATTTCCTTGGAGATAATAATGGTTTAGTGATTCAAGTTTTACTAATTAACCCATAGCTGGGAGGAAAAGAGGTAGATTCATACCTTTTCCAAGTGTATTTGCGTGTAGGTGAATATAACTGAAACTTGGCTTTCTGATTAACAATACCGAGTCGGCATCCATTACAACACCCGCAATTCAAAGTTTACTGTATTTGGTATTCCCAAGTGGTCACCCATTTAGGTACTGACCAGGCTCGACATTACTTAACTTCGGTGATCGTACGGGAATCGCTGTTTCAACGTTCACATTCAAAAATTGACTATTTACGAATGTTGTACTAATCAGCAATGCAAATATTATTCGTGTGTAATTTTGCCAATCGTCCTGCAAAATATAGAAATTTCCGTATTTTAATGTCAAAGGACATGTTCCGCATTAATTAATGCGGAACATGTACCTATCCGAATTTTATGAGTCGAGGATTCTTTTTAAACTTTCCTTATTTTTTCTTTCCCCCTTTTTTTTAAAGATATATATATATATATATATATATATTGATCAGTTCATCCCAAGGAAGGCGATAGTGCCATTAAGACTCAAGGGAGCTACTGGGAATGAAAGAGAATGGAGAGATTTCAGAAGGAACCGGAAATTCAATCCTAAACAAGAAACAAAGGGAAAAAACACTACTCCTGTTCAAAAGATCGGGGAGGAGTATGATATACTTAATAAACACAAAGACAGTTCTGTTATACTCTAAAATTATAACTGAACTGTTAATTTGCATTGGCCATATAAAATTCTTCAATGATTATCTGCTGCAAATGAATTCTTATCGCTCAAACGTACCAAACTGATTTAATTCAGCTTCCGAGAACCCCATCGTTGGGAACCTGTCTACAAGGTCCGTGAAACCTGGTTGGGATACTTCAGTCCCACCTTCCGTCCCCCATTCCGTCCCTAGAGTGTTGACAATTATATTCGCGCGCTCTTGCGTGTGTGTGCGTGCGCCTTTCTATCCACTACTGAATTCTGTTAGTTTAATTTTCTTCTTTGAGGAAATGAAAACACGTCCTCGAATCTTTACATTCCGATGGATTTTTCTGCTTTCTTAATTACTTGTGGACAGATATCAAATCAACTGCGAGTAGCATTCCTTCAGTACAAGCGATCTATTACGAGAGGACAAAAATACTTTCCGTTCACTACAAAATCCCGACTCCTACTATATTGTATTCCCCGCAGTTCAAAACTCGAGACGAGCTGTCGGTAATCTCTTGTTCAGAATGTGCGGGGAGCGTATCAGTTATCGGCGCAAAAAAATAGTGAATTATGTTCAAATTCCAGCCGAGTCGGTGGCTTTCATTTCGCACTCATGCTTTTGGAAAGAGGCATGAACCCGTCTCTTCTCCCGAAACCAAGCTTTGGGTAAATAGCAGTGCAGGTTGTTCTCAGTTGCACTGGTTGGCAGCCAGTCTACGAGAACAACTCTGAATACAAAACCATAAGGCAGTGTGATAGCACTATCTTTTAAAGAACAGTCATGTCCAAAAAATTGTATTTTGATAGGACTGTTGTCCCTATCATAAAAAAATATATCTGTAAAACTCTGCAATGACTAGAGGCAGTTCCATTATCGGTAATCCCTTGTGACTTACTGTTAACTGGTCGTTCTTTAGGTAATGCAAAGTGACCAATAAATTATGTTTTGTTAAATACTTTAAACGTTATATGTATTGGATACACGTGTTTCAGTAGACACTATTGTTGTTGCTGTTTTGTTTTAACTGTATCAATCTATGTCTTATTCGAGTGTCTTAATAAATAAAATGTGCCTTCCAGCAGAGATCGAACCTGCGTCACCTTGAAACCACTGTTAAGCCTAATATGCTTTTAGACCATTCAACCGGAAGAATTTCATAGTCGACTATATTTCTGTTACCCGATTTAAGAAATGCCCATTTCTCATTCGGATCTCTTAAAGCCTATATCTGCTTTTATTTCCCTATCCGAAACGTAAACAAAGTAGTTTCTAAAGAGTTAATGGATTTTATTTATGATCCGACATTATTTCTTATTATTTCAAACGTTATACAGGGTGTGGCAGAAATACCTCCCACATAATAGATATTAGCGAGATGAAGACACCATTGCCACCAATGTCTTGCCATTATGTGGGAGGTATTCCTGGGAGGAATGTATGGGAGGTATTTCTGTCGCATCTTGTATTTAGTGGATACATGTGTTTAAATAAATACTCTTTTTTTAAAACAGCGTAAATCTAGGTCTACCGGCCTATGCATTTGTGAGTCTTAAGAAAATGCGCCTTCCGGGTACACACACATATATATATATATATATATATATATATATATATATATATATATATATATATATATATATTTGTAGGTGGCGTGGTAAAACTACAAGACCGTATATAAAAAAAAACAAAAATGCAATGAGGACAATTAAAATATGTCCTGACCCACTTCCAGTACACTTAGAGTTATGAAATTGGACATGTAGAAATATTCATAGGATATACTTCAATTTGTAGACCGTGCGAATAAATGTTTGTGCTTCAGGTGTGAATGTGCAGTAAGGTGGAGCCAATGAACTTCAGCTGTAATCCGATTCACGTTTTTAAAAGACAACATCCTACAAACAATTTCGAATGAGATATCAGCAGTATAGGGATATATCTCTAAAGAATTATTAAACACTTTTTTAATTTGCTTTTTAAATTCAGTCGGACTTTAGTAGGAACAGTCCGTATTTCCAGTCTACCCTCAGTCAGCCATTGATAGGGACATCATCAAATAAGTGAAGACTGACATAGGAGACAGTTACATAACCATTTGGGTACAAGCGGACAGTGTCAAAATTAATGGGTTCCTCGTTTGCTCTCTTTTCCAGAAGGAAGTAAATGTTAATTGCTCCCATGAAATTTTAGCCATGTGCCAGGAAAACCAATAGAACATTTCCCCGCCTCTCGCCAAATTACAATTAATGAAACGTGGGTTAATCACTTTAATTCAGAGACTAAAGTACAATGTAGCATGGTGATACTCCAGTCACAAAGGGTACATGTCCAATCCTCAGCTGACAAGGTGTTGCTCAGTTTTCTAGGACCAAAATGATGACTTAGGGATTTCGTGACCAAAAGTACGGCATAGTCGGGACTTACTATGCTTAATTTTTGTTGAAATTACGGGAAGCCTTCAAAACCCATAGACACGGTATGCTCAGCAAAGGTGTCTAGATCTTGCAATACAATATACAAATCCCATATCACACAAATTGAAGCATGTTCCCGCGATTTCAAAATTCTTCTACATATCCCTTATTCTCCGAGAACAATCTGATATCCAATTCTACCATTTAAGCTATACAGAGTGACCTTAAATTTTTGACACACTTGTACAACTTCTCCTTCAGAATATCCAAGATAAAAATAAGACAAGGAAACTAATATCTGGTGAGCGAGGAGTCCATTTCAAACGGCTCCGTCTCCCAATCCAGTAAAGGAAATTGTATTTCAGCCAGTGTTTTACCGCCATTGGGTAATGTGCAGAGTCTCCATCTTGCTGGAACCACACAAGGGGGTTTTCACCTAACCTTTCAATTTGGGACATTAGATGGTCTCTCAACACGATGAAATATGTCTCATCAGTTACGTTACCATCAAAGAAAAACGGTCCCAACACATTAACTTTCAACACCACACTACAATTCATCGCGTTACTTGCTGTTTGGAAGGGTCCATCCAACGCGGATAGTTTTGCAACAAATACCGAACACTATTTACATTATTAGGACTATTGTCCTCATCTTTGTCGCCATATTTATTACAACGTTTCGGCCGTTGTACGCTCCGGCCTTCTTACATAGATGTCCTCAAGGACACATGGCATATTGGATAAAGGCGTTGGTTAGATCCAGTGACAGGACCCAAAGAGTTTGAGTTCAATACCCGGTTAAGGCAGTGGAGAACTTGGAGAGGGTAATTAACAGGAGATAACTGATAACTGACATCCATTAAACATGGTACGTGGAACTAGAACAGTCTACCCCAGTGAGCGAAATAAAGGGTTCAGTTCGACATTTCAACCACCTGAAGAAGGCCGGAGCGTACAATGGCCGAAACGTTGTAATAAATATGGTGACAAAGTTGAGGACAATAGTCCGAATAATGTAAATAGTGTACATAATACCTCATCTCAGAAATATAGACAGATACCAGTACCAAACATTTTGTCGGTTAACCTCAACGTTCACGTAAAAATTAAGCTCACTGCTTAGTAATAATGGTCAACTAGCCTCGCTGAAAACTAAATCACGCCATGGCGGCTTAGAAGTCGTAGGTTATGTTAGGTTGGTTGATTTTGTGACATGTCGGCTCTTAAATATATGTTAAATTTTGCATGGGAAACTCGTTGAGGGTTAACATTTACCAGTGAGTTTTGACACCCAGTGGAAACCGTACCCACTACTCAGTAATAATGGTCAAACGAGCCTCACTAACCATTATCCCACACTAAAACACTTTGCATACAAGTAGCTTCTTCTATTTTTCCAAAAGTATTTTTATGCTTTGTTTTCAAACTCTCGGGTATATATGTGATTATCAGAGGATGGGTTAACGCGTAGCCATTAACTGAATTTTGATCTGAAATTTTCACTGTATAATGTTCGATCTTTGTGATTAATATTAATCCCTGAGTTAAGTAAACAGACAAGGAAGGAGATTGTTGAAAAAGTAAATGTTTCTTGCGTAAAATAAACGCTTTTTTCTTCCTTAGACAACGGAATTCAGTCGTCCAGGATTTTTTTATATTAAATATAAATTCGAATTCCAAGAAATAATAAAATTAAAATAAATAAAACATGTGAATATCATTTCGAGAAAAATGGGATTTTAATTTTTGTTGATTGATCAAATATTTCACATGGTGATGTTAATTTTTAACCAATAAACACTTTGATTTAAACGGTGTGTGTTGTATTGTAGAATCTTTTTGACAATGTTTGTAATATTGTTTGTTATTGGGTAGAAAATAAAGTTTAGACGTGTTTTAATATGTTATGTATGTGGGGATGCAATTGTGTTGGAAATAGGGTTTATTTCCTATAGACTTATTTATGTATCCCCCTCACATATGTGTGGGTATGTTGAACAACGTAAGTTACTTACTTTTATTTTCAGAACCTTTTCTCTTCATGCTGACTTCTCATTAACATTTTTTCGAGTTTCATAACTCCACGTAATGATTGATTTGCACGGAATTTGCGACCTAAAGT